AAAATATTCAGCATCTAGAATTAAAAAGCAAGTAGACACAATAAAACTGTCTGTACAGGCTTGCCAAAGCACCTCCAAGGTCTCCATAATTCTCCAGTTGAGAGCATCTCTGAAATAGGCAGCCAGTGTGGTCTGGATCCTGCAAATCACATGGAATTCCCAGTGGGATCAGAGGGACAGTAGAACGACGAACGCCAACAGAAGGGTCAACTGTCTTCAGCAGCCAGCAAACCTCTTAGTAAAATACGCATATCCCATTCCAGTGTCTGAAGCCTAATGAAGCTCCTCACCAGAGCTACTCACAGAAGACATAGCTGGTTTCAAAATTAGACTAATAGATTTTCCAGAGAGTTGCTTCCCTCTCTCTCCCAACAGCTGTGCAAAACTCATACATACTTGAAGGATTAAAGCTACCTCAGCACTTTCTTTTACTTGCAATGAATGCAATTTTGTTTTTTCAAGTGCTAAGAGTTTTTTGTTCATCAAATGGTATTTTATGTTTAGTCAATTATTTATTCTGGCTATAACAAGTAGAGCAATACCGGGTTCAAAATATGGTCCAGATGGTAAAAAACCAGATCAGAAATAAATTCATTTTTAAAAGTATGACAAGATATCTTTTTTCCCAGTTGAAAAAAAAAAATGAAATCATAAAAGCCATGGTTTTGCTTTAAATTGTCCATAAGCTTTCTTCCGGTTCTAAATTAGGTCCGAATACTTTGAGCTAATATCCCTCTGAATCTGGAGAAATTTAGACCTTACTGGTTTGTTTTTATAAGAAAGTGTCATGTCAGATGCTCAAATAATTCACATCAGAAATACACTTTTACAGAGCAAAAGTCTTAAAGAGTAAATACTTCGTCACAAGGAAACATTTTTCAGTGTACATTAGCAAGAGGAATACACTCACACAAAACCCTAAATGAAATATGCATGGAAGGGAAACAAGGCATAGATAAAACGAGGGAATAACTGAGCCAGACCAGAGTGACTGAGAAAGGATACAAAAGGAATGTGACCCTGCATTTTTAAACAGTGATAAGACAAGAGCTTGACCTTAACATTATACTATTTTACTACAGCTCATTTTTTTTTTCAGATTAAATTATACTGTCTTCAAGATCAAACACTACTTTGGCAGGTGCCTGGCTTACAGTTTTGAATAGAATTTCAAGTTTCTACAGCACTAATGCAAAAATCTAAGCGTAGACTGGAATCAAGCATCTGTCCACACCTCCGAAAGCACCAGCAACATTTCCAGTGCTCTTCCCGTTTTGTCAATCTATTCCATGTAACAGCCAGCAATTCCAAGCTGAAGCTGCTATTTTCAATAACTAAACATTCACATAAAAATGAACTTTAAAACAACCGACGAGATGTTTCTGAGGACCACATCCATATATGCAGAGCGTAACAAGAAAACCTCCACATTAAAACAGTATAATCATTCTTCTCACTTTAACTACGCCACAGGAATAAAAAAAAAAAAGAAAAAAAAGAAGAAAAAAAAAAGAAAAAAAGGTCGATTTTTATTTTAGCTCTATCAACAATGTTTATACTAAAAGTGAACACATATTCCACGTAAAAAATTATTTTTTCCAGTATGAACTCACTGAATCGTTCACGAAGTTCCTCAAGTCACTATCCCACAGAAATGAAAAGAAACATGCATTCAAAACAAAAGCAAGACATGAAAGGGAAAACATGAAACAGACAAATTGCTAAATCCCAGACCTCCTAAACCCAGGAAAAAAAAAAAAAACAATAGCCAAATTCTACTCTCAGTTCCACAGACACAAACCAGCAGCAATTTCACCTACTGGATTTATTTTTGTATCTTCCACTGCAGAATTTTGCCTTTCTTATCCAGCAATATGCCTTTTATTAGAAATTTTGCATGAGAAGGGGAAAAAGATGAACACAGTAAGAGATAACCACTATGTAAAAAAAGAACAAAACCGGCTATTTGAGAAAAATGACTAAACCAGATGCAAATTATTCACACAAGTAAGGATATGCACAATCAGGCCCATGCTAATTGAGCACAATAAACATATCGTCACCCATTAAAGGTCTATCTGCCTGAATTTATCTTTGCTTTATCTTCAGTTCTTATGAGTTATTCAATCACTTCCCATCACAGGGAAAGGAAATATTGGACTATGAAGACAGAGCTATAATTAGATATTCCTGAATTTCATTTCACGCGTATGACTGAATGAGAATGGATGGGGGAAATATGAACAGTGATAATAACAGTATTTGGAAACATTCAGTAAGAAATATATTGGGCACAGAATAACATTTTAATTCTTCCTCCGCCCATAATGCTGTGTTTACTGCAAGGTCAGTTAAGTTACTATAAGGGATTTTTAATGAAAACAATTATAAATTTAGAATAACTGTGTTTAAAGCATTTAACAGTCACTAAGGTCAAGTGATTACAGCAGTTACAAGACCCAAGGGACATGTTCACACCAAAACAAAGTGAATAAATTACCTCAGCCAGCGTGTGTAATCAGTAAGTGACCACAGAGGTTATTCCATGTAGAAGCCCAGATGACTTTCATGCAAAACCAATAATGAAAATTCATCAGCCAAAAGTACAGAAGGCAAAAGAACTAGCAAAAGTTGCAGGAAGGGCTGAGAGCTAGGAGGAGTGTGAAAGAGGGCATGGAAAGCATGTTCCGTGATTCAGTGGTGGAGACAAGGAAGAAGGATGAATGTTAATGAAATGCATGGACAGGATGCTGAACATCCTGCTCAGGTGAGATATCCAGAGTTGCAAAGGGATGCAAGACCCACAAAATCTATGATTTTAGGATGGACAAGTGCTCTCAGTCCTGTGTAACTCTGCCATTTTTAAGACCCAGTGAAGTACAAGCGAGGCAGGGGTGCAGAATAATCATCTTTTTAACTTTTCCCTTGGCTTTACTGCCAAGAAAATAATGGGCAGGTTTTGTGTCTTAGTTATTCTATTATATAATCCTAGTGGAGATGCGGCCCTGCTTTTTTGCCATGGAGTAGGTAAAATAAGCTGTAGAACGAAGCCTAGCTTTGATCTGACTTCTTTCCCTCATGGTAAAAATGATACAGATGCCTTGTCTTCATTACTGCTTTACAGTATGACTGCCAGTGGAGAAAACCATGCACACACAAGATATGAAAACTCCTTTCTACAACAACGTTATATTTTATGGGAGTTCTCAGTACACTGCTTTGGAATAAGGCTCCTACCAAACACGATGGAAAAACACGCCTCCCACTACAGAGCAGAAGAAAAAAGAATCCTGCCTGTTTCTGCCTGCCGCTGGTAGGTACTTTTTAAACTATTACAGGTCATCACCTCACAACCTCGAAAGTATCCATCTTCCCAATATACGTAGTAAATAGTAAAACACTATTACTCTCATTTTGCAGACAGGAGCCTGAAATAAACTGGCAAATCTGCATGCCTTCCTTCACAGTGGTTTGATTACAGATGAGGAGAGGACAGCACTGGAGGAAGTTTTGACCAACGCGACATGATTTCACAGGGGAATCAATTTGCTGCCTCACCTTATGCCAGAAAACTAATACCTGCTATTGTCACACGTACGAAAACGCAAGTGGACACTGTGCATGTAAAAAGAAAAAAGTTGAAGATCATTCCTACTGCGTCTGTTCCCTCAGCTCATGAACATACCCACCTGCTTCTACCGCTTCTTACTTCCCAGTCCTGCTGCTACATTCCTAGAAAAAACTATCCTTTTTCTAGGAAGGTAACAGCAGGACCGGGAAGTAACAACTAGTTCTGCCTTCCAGAAACAAGAATGATAAAACTAAATTACAGTAAGATGGCAGTATCTGGAAGCCCCAGTCCCAATAGCAATAAAAAAAAGGGAAAAACGATTGGGCTGTGAAAATCAGAGGAGGTCAGGATGACAAAAGGAACAGCACGGAGAAAATGCAAAGAAGGGTGAAAAGGCAGAGAATATGAAAGCTCTTCTATTTAAAGATTTCTTTTGTAAATCCAAATGCTCTTTACTTATCTGTTGAAGGGTCAGCCAAGGAACTCCAATGGAATGAAATGATGCTATTAAAGGCATGTAGAGATGTGGCCATCACAGAGTAGGCAAGAGAGACTGCAGTGATGGAGGTAAAGTCTGACAACAAAGCTACACTTTCAAAAGTTTTTCTGTAATGCTGTAAATTCATTCTAACACTTCTTGAAGATCAGCTGCTTAAGTGACCTTCACCTCTGGGCATTTCTAGTGCAAGTGGTGACATGGCAGTAGGCAGCCAGCCCAGCAGCAGCATTTGTAACAGGAGCATCCTTGCACAAGTTCCCCTCCTTCACTTGGTCTTCTGCTGCTGCAGCTTAACTGGCCTCACCTGTAGTAATATATTACCAAGGCACTGCTATCAAATACAGCCGAATATGAAAGGCATTCTACCAAAGAGGCATTGAGTGCTTGCATTCAAAGTTCACATGCCAGTATTCTAACTTGAAGGGGCAACCATGCGTATACCACCCCCAAAAACTTCTCTTCTTCCAAACAGTATTACTGATTTTGCCATCTTATATTGTGGGAAGAAGGACTTTCATCATTTCCAAATAAGTTATAGCTTTCAGCACTGGTTTGAATTATGGTAAACCCAAAACACAGTGAGCAATAGTTTCAGCTGTGGCTATAAAACCCCACAGCATCAACTCATGGGACACTGTAAGCATTCATATACAATGCCACCACCCCCTCAGCAACATAAGGCTACACAGTCCTTGCTATGGAACGACAGAATTTTTTCCCTCAAGATAATACAGAAAAATACAGCAAGGTCTCTAAATTTGTCTTAATTAACAGAATCATACCGAGCCTAGAAACAGCACATGACAGGAGGACGAGTGGAGCAAGGGTAGGTGGGGGGATTTTCAAGTGCTCTAATTCAATTAGGAGGCAGTGACTGACACTTGGACAGGAGAGGTTAATTGGGGTCACCAAAAGGCAGTAATTCCTTACCTAACCAGTCATTAAACTTCTTAACCTCTGAGGGCAGTCCCAGCTCGGTGAAATCGCCCGTGTGGAGAAGGATGTCCCCATAAGGCATCTGGATGCCATCTGTTCTGGAGTGTGTGTCTGAGACGCAGACAAATCGCGTGTGGCCCGCTGGTTTTGGAGTGTCATATGGGATAGGGTCGACCCTAAAGCAGACACATAAAGATCTCATAACAGTTACAAGGTTAAAACCCTAGCATCTATTATTTCATCTCTACATAAGCGTGCATGCACACATACACACATCCATTTATACACACCATGCTGAAGGAAATGACTGTAATGCAACACTGCCAAAAATCCAGAAGGATCACAGTGCTCCTTAAATACTTACCTGGTAAAACAGGGAGATTAAAAAACACACAAGATACGGCCAGTTTCCTATCCTAAAGTTAACTTAAGCACTGGAAAACAATGGATTCGAGAGACTTCTAATTCAGATATATTTTTTCCGTCACCTGCCTTATGGACAAGCATGGGCCATTAAATAACAGGTCTCACAGGTGAGCCAGCAACGGGCTCTCACTTGAGCCTAGCAGCTTAGCACCTGATTTTGTTCAAGAGCACAGGCACTCCTACAGATTCCAGCAGG